GATGTGCCAAAGCTAATCAAGTAATGGGGCAACTATCTCCCCTGTTGATACACACGTAGATAACCCGGAGTACTAAACAATCTTATGAGAACTATTTTTTGGCCAACACTATGCTATCAGTGCCAAACGTGGACAATGAACTTAAAATTGTGACAACAGAGTTGAAAAGCCTTACAAGAGCTGCAGGAGTTTAAAGGAAAGACAGAATTACGGAATCAGACGAATGCTAGGAATAGAGCCAGTCTTTCATCAAAGAACAACTAATGAAGTGGTCAAGGGCAGCTAACAAGAATGCCCTGGCACTATCTACCACAGCGAGCCATACTAAAACGTTACAACAGGTATAGAGCGAGTGGAAGACCTCGAAAAAATGGAGTGATGGCATTTAGAACAGCCTTACAGAAATGAACATCAGTCTTAATAGTGCTCTTGACAGAGCTCATCAACGAATTTTACATCTCCCCCCGACACTTCGATGAGGCACAAGGTGGAATAGAAGGAGGAGGAGAAGAAGAAGAAGAAGAAGAAGAAGAAGAAGAAGAAGAAGAAGAAGAAGAAGAAGAAGAAGAAGAAGAAGAAGAAGAAGAAGAAGAAGAAGAAGAAGAAGAAGAAGAAGAAGAAGAAGAAGAAGAAGAAGAAGAAGAAGAAGAAGAAGAAGAAGAAGAGAAGAAGAAGAAGAAGAAAAGAAGAAGAAGAAGAAGAAGAAGAAGAAGAAGAAGAAGAAGAAGAAGAAGAAGAAGAAGAAGAAGAAGAAGAAGAAGAAGAAGAAGAAGAAGAAGAAGAAGAAGAAGAAGAAGAAGAAAAAGAAGAAGAAGAAGAAAAAGAAGAAGAAGAAGAAGAAAAAGAAGAAGAAGAAGAAAAAGAAGAAGAAGAAGAAGAAGAAGAAGAAGAAGAAGAAGAAGAAGAAGAAGAAGAAGAAGAAGAAGAAGAAAAAGGATAGCAATTTTGACTCTCAAGGAGATACAAAGAAGGAAGTTATCATAAGCATTGATAAAGCAACAGGAGTGGTTAAAAGCTTTAACAAAATATGAAGCTCCAGTTTACAGAGCGTTAAGACCAAAACTATGAATCTTCAGTTCTTCTAACGTTAGTTTAGTCCTAACATCTGCCAGCGAAAGAACTACCAAAGGGTAAGAAAGTTACATGAATTTGAAAATAAATGTCTGTGAAAAATCATGAACACATAAATGGAAGAATTCAAAGAGAGTGAGGAGATAAGAGAAATGTCTGGACAAATATCTATTTAGCCTGCAATAAGACAAAGATGGTGGAGATGTATTGGACACACTCTGCGACGAAATCAACAGAGAATTACAAAACAGGCAATGAAATGGGAAACAAACGGTCTGAAAGAAAAAGAGAGGACGTTCAAGTGAAACATTAAGCAGAACATTATTACGAAAGGCAACAATGCTGGGCTGAACTCCAAGTCAGAAATCGAGAAAGTTGCATACAATAGAGCAGGGTGGAGGAATCGAATGCGAAACCCTGTGTAATGTCTAACTGCACACACACACAGGATGATGATGATATTTTGAACTGAAAACGGGACATCCCACTAATATTTTGAACTGAAAATGGGACACCCCAAGTATTTCAGTTTAACCTCACTTTTTTTTTTCTCCAGTTCTCCTGGATAAATGGGTTAACTATTCGTTCAACAACGGTTTTAAACCCCGAACCATTGTTGCTAAGAACTATACAATTTCATTTTGACTGAGGAAGGTTTAACCTCATCAGGATTGCACAGCGAGGAGTAACACCCGGTGACTTAATGTGCCATCATTCGGATGAGAATCCCCCGGGTAAAGTCCCAGAGACCCTGTCCAACCGTCAGGTTATATTAGGGCCCCCGACGAAAGCCGGAATGGGGCCTTAAAAAGAACCAAAATTGCAGCCTATATTGAGGCGAAGTTCTGATATGCTCTTCGACTGCACTGGGGAAGAAGAAAAAGAAAAAGAAAAAAAAAAACACACACACACACACACGGACCCTTATTACAGTAAAAATGTCCAACATCACATTTCAGGCAATAAAAATAGCTAAAATTATTAAATCCACTAAGGCTTACTTCTATAAGGGATTTTTTGTACTCGAGTTTATTCATAGATTTGTATTTAACGGACAATTGTGTTTTTTGAGGACAAAGGAGGCGGACGGGACACACCTAAAAAACGGGACTGTCCTGGTGAAAACGGGACGCATGGGCGCCCTAAAGATGAACCACCATTCACACAGCAGCTTGAAGACAGGTGAAGTTTGGAAAACGTGGGGGAGGGTGGGGGAAGAGACAGAATGATCGACAAATTAAAAGAAAAAGAATTTGATTAAAAATAAGACCCAAGAATAGATCAACAGTACGCGGTCACTGGGAACATGCTACAGACAGGGATGAACTCAAAAACGTCAATATTGTGGAGTGAAAAATACAAGAAAACATGTCGCACACATCATCAACTTGTATCGATCCTCTAACGCGGTTGTGTCCCTTGGCCAGTCGCTAGAGGGCCTCGCTTGTCGTTTTTCGATGATGAGATGATTGCGTTGATGACGGCAGCGATAATTACTTCCTCTCTGTCCTTTACAAAAGCGGACTTTTGTGATAAACAGTGTTTTTGTTATCGATTGTGATCTGTTAATTTCACCTACATTGACACCCAAGGTGAGTCTGTGTTGAATTTTTTTAAAATTGCGAAAAGGAAAGTTGGTGAAAGAAGACGACGGACACGATAATGGCGCGATAAGAGAACGGCGAAGTGGCCCGACGGTACGTACGCAACTCCACGGTTGTTGTGGCGGCTGAGGTCTTTCTTGTAGCTGGGATTGACTAACCCCCAACATTTACTATTTGCTTGTATATAAAGTGCTTTGTTTGAGTTGGTCGATTAATGAGAAAGATGATTTAATAAGAGTGTGATGTGAGAACTTGATGTAGAGTTGTACGATGTTTGATTGAAGCCATTAACTCTCTCTCCCTTGTCCGCATCAGTCGTCGCTTTCTGGTCGAAGGGAAACTACTCACATAAATGTAGCACTGCCATCAGGACGTCTTAGGCTTAGGATGGTTGTGTTTCTTCAGTTGTCCCTTTTAGAAAGAAGGAATGATTCCTATCCCACACTGACACATCCTTGACAATAAAAATACAGTTTGGGCTTGACAAAATAAGGCTTTTAAAATAATGTATTTTATTCTCAGAATCTAAACATCGACAGTCCCCACATCTTACCTCTTAAGGATTTAATTGTTTTATTTTTCTTGTTGTGCCTTCTGTTCTCAGTCTCACCCTCCTTAAGCCTCACCTCAACATCTAATGGTTTTTTCTTTTGGAGATTATACTCACCTTGATGTTTTCCCAGAGGATATTGTTGCATTGTGCTGGGGAGACAGGAAAATGACAGCTAATGTCAGTTGCAGTTAAGTCCAGGAATTAGATTCTTCTGGCTCGTGCGACATTGACCATCAGTCACCAAGTGTCAATTGGTCTATAAAATATTATGTATATGTCTAGTCCTCATATGCCCTATACGCCGCAAGGCATGGGAAAAGGTCCCATCTCTTTTTATTTTTGTTAACTTTCTATAACTTTTCCTTTTTAAGTACCAATTACATATTTATTTTAACTTATTCAACACATTTTTATCCATAATGTGATGAAGAGGTTGTTTGTCAGGAAATCTTGCTGTAAATCTTCGAACAACCATCCACATATATCAACCACTGTTTTAAAAACACCATTCTGTTTTGAGTGCAGAGAATAACTCCAGCAGATGACAGCCATTCATTACATATTGCTTCACAGTTGTTTGTAGAGCAAATTTTTTTTAATGACATTTATTTTGTTTTACAGATTTGTTCTGCATACAATGTGTAGTGAAACTTTAGAAACACCCTGTAGCACAAAGCCAAAGCAGTTTTGTAGAGACCATGTGTTGCTCATAAAGCACAATTCCACTCCCTCCACCTGCTTTGTTAACGTAAAAGGAAAGGTAACACTGCATGAAAAAACCTGCATTCTGGAGAAGTGAGAAACTGCATTGTAAAGTTACTGCTCCTGCATTTATGAACTAGCATTATTGATCTTCATGTCAGTTAATTCCCAACTGCCCTGACTCCATTTAATGAATCCAGAGTTGAGTCGAGTTTAAAACAGAGATCCCAGCGCTCAGAACATTCCATTAAATGCTCCATCCCTATTTGCAGCAGCCAGCATGAGAGTTCCAATTCCGGTGATGCCAACAGCAGTTGGCTTATATGTCCCTCTTGCTTTTTCCTTTGAGTGTAGAGTGTTGACCATTTCCTGTGTTCATTCCTAGCTCTCCAATTTTCTCCATACCATATTGATTGTTTAACTACTCATGCTTCAGAGTTTGTGCAGTGTGGTCAGATTATATTCATGCAATCAGTGGGAGGAAACTTGGCATTCAATGTAAAAAAGAAAAAAAAAAGTCCCCTTTGCACACCTTTAGGCGTATTGGGAATGTATAGCTAGACCTATATTTTTATATACCAATCCGCACTTAGTGGGTGATGTGGTCAGCATCCTGCAGGCTAGTTTTATTTCCCAGTACTTTACCATGAACCCATTTTGTTTATTTGGTACCCATTTTCTTAACCTGGTACCCGTTTTCTTTACCTGGCACCCGTTTTCTTTACCTGGCACCCGTTTTCTTTACCTGGTACCCGTTTTCTTTACCTGGTACCCGTTTTCTTTACCTGGTATCCGTTTTCTTTACCTGGTACCCATTTTCTTTACCTGGTACCCGTTTTCTTTACCTGGTACCCGTTGTCACCTGGTACCCATTTTCTTTACTCTGTACCCATTTTACGGCTGGATCAACCTGAGAGCCAATGTCGTTAATGGAAAACCGGCTGCCTGAGGATTTGAAACCGTGATCTTTAAATCCGCAAGTGAGCATCTAGCCGCTACACTGTGGCAGTTCCCTTTCTGTAAAAGGCTTGCTGTAATTTATATTTTAATCAGTTTTCCTTCTCAACAGAATGGACACATATGAAGGCCTTATTGACAGTCCCATGACGGGCAACTCCAGTGGCATTGCAGACTATCAGGTACCAGCAGCCTTCCCCCAGTTCCAAGATGGCAGCAACATGAACAACTCTTATGGGAATCTGTCAGGATTGTCCGGCTCATTTGCAGGCAGCCCGGCAGCTTCAGGCAGCGGCTTGAACATGAGTAGTTACAGTCCGTCAGGATCTCAGCAGCCTAACTATGGAAACATGTCATCAGGTTCTGCCTCTTCCTTCTCCATGCCATATGATCCACCATCCCTGCAGCAAGGATCTGCTTCTCATTTGCAGATGGCACCCCAACCTTCACCTCATGCATCTCATGGGGTCTCAAACAAACCCATCCACTCCTGTAGTTATTGTGGTCTTGTTCTGTCATCTGCAAATGCTTTAGTAGAACACAAACGTATACATACGGGGGACCGACCTTTTGCTTGTCATATCTGCAACAAGAGGTTTACTCAGAAAGCACACCTCAACATACATAAGAGGATTCATACGGGGGAGAAACCATATGCCTGTCACATTTGCAACAAGCGATTTGCACAGTCTTCTCATCTAAGCAGTCATAAACGTATTCATACAGGTAAGTAAGAGCAGCTCCATTTACATAAAAGCCTTTCCATTCGTTCATACGTACAGACAGCCTAAGCTGAACTGAGATAATCTGCCTCATACACTGGTTACCACCAAGTAAAGACTAGATCTCATTTCAGATGTCCATATATGATATGTTTACTTTCCCCGTGTGGGTTCTTGGGCCCCATTGTGGGGAAAACAAGAATACACCCACTGCCTTCCCTAAAAGCATGCCATATGAATCGACTAATTGGGTGCTTCCTTCAAAGTTGGAATGCATCTGCCTGAGAGGCAAAGAACCAACAGACTGCATACTGATAAGCCAGATCTGTAAAATGGATGTGCGCTCAACACTCAGGTTCTGGAACATGACTTAAGACTCGAGGTGGACTAACAACTAGAACTTTTCGCTAAAGTTTACAGTCGGTGAATGCGAAGCAGAATAAGAATATGTTTATTTAATTTTTTTGTCTAATACTACTGTCCACATGTGTTAAGTAAACTTCTGTGAGATATCTGAACTGACGGAATAGTGATTTTGTGTTTTCTTGTTTGTAGTTGTAGCATTTGCCAGTTTGTTTCTTATGCTGATGAAGGCTTTCTGTCCATAATGTTTGTTCGTTGTTTGTGATTGTCATGATGAGAAGCTGAATAGTTCTGCTTCTTGCTCAGATTGATGTCTTTTCATGGCAGTTTAGACGCACAAGTTCACTTCTTTCTCAGCACATGAACATTGCCTCTGGAACCATATTCTAGACAGCTTACCTTTCATTGTATTTCAAAATTAACTTAACACATTTAACACTACGAATCCTTAACAAAAAGAGGTGGGGACATGAACCTCAAAACTCCCACAAAAAATCCTTAAAAAGCATATGCATTGGTCACAATTTAAAACTTTGTTTATCTACATTGTTTAATTTATTCTCTGGAATATATAGAAATATTTAAAAGGAATAAACTTAAAAAAAAAAACATGAACAAAGTCAAGCCTTAAATGGAATACATTCCCCTGGGCCTAAACAGTATGTATCAGGTGACACATGCCATCACCCTGGGGCTTATCGGAAAATTTCATGTTAACATGGCTTTGGAAAAGCCATGTGGTTCACAAGGACCTTCCCACTATTTTTAGTTAACATATTCATATCCTGACCTCCTGATTGCTGCACAAGCGCAAACATGGCCAATAATGTTAAATGCTCTCAAAAAGACATCACTGTAGAAAAGTCGGTTTCGTGACATTTACTTGGGATTGGACCCAACTAGAAGTCCAAGTTTTGTTGCTTCTCTAGGTACCAGGGTTAACTGACATTTTGCACATATACAGAAGTTAGAACATGAGAAACTGTTGTATATTTTATTGTACTCTTTCACTTCCATGCATTTAAAAAAAAACAACTTTCTAGCCCAGATTGTGTAGAAAATATTTGAACATTAATGAGCTAAAACAAGACAACTATGAGACAGAATAACAGCTGAAATAGGACGGCTTAATGATATCAAGGAACATGGGCTTATAATGTATAAAGTCATACATGAATGTAATGGTGAGTTTCCCTATCCTGAAAGGATTAACACTGCATTATGTTTTTTTAAACAAGGGCTGATAGTCATTCACTTTGAATTTCACTAATTTTTCTAAGATTTTTTTTAATTTTGAGAGAGCAAAGTTTTTGTTTTTTAAAAGTAAAAGTAACATCTATGAAAGCAAAAGTAAAGTCTGTTCTAGTAAGAGTAACATCTATTGAAGTCAGAGGAAAATCTGCTCTAGTAAGAGTAACATCTATTAAAGCAAAAGTAAAATCTGCTCTAGCAAAGAGTAACATCTATTGAAGTAAGAGTAAAATCTGCCCTAGTAAGAGTAACATCTATTGAAAACAGAGTAAAATCTGCTCTAGTAAGAGTAACATCTGTTAAAGCAAAAGTAAAATCTGCTCTAGTAAAGAGAAACACCTATTGAAGTCAGAGTAAAATCTGCTCTAATAAGAGTAAAATCTGTTCTTGTAAGAGTAACATTTATTAAAGTAGGAGTAAAGTCTGTTCTGGTGCTAAAAGTGGAGAGCAGTTTCACTGAGATAAATAAGTCTTTGTACAGTCTTTATGAACGAATATGCATTCCCTGTATGGGTTTTGGGGCTCTTTTATTAGGGAAACCAGGATGAACCCACTATCCCCTTTAACAAGCATGTCTAAGGGCAACTAATTAGTGCTCACAGTGCATCTGCCTGGAAGGCAAAGAACTAGCAGTGTGCATGTAAATAAGCCAGATCTGTAAACTGAAAATAAGCCAGATTTGTAAAATCTCAAGTTCCTATGTAAGGAAACTTATGGGACACCCTGAACAATGCTGCGAGACCACAGGTGTTCCATGATGAATTTCTGGAAGGAATGGTACACTTCATGATGGTTGCCATTAATTCCCATAATATTTTCTGAAACCCATTTCAGGCTAGGTCGAGCTGGAAGCTTTTTTCCCGGCCAGATCTGAAGTTCTGAAACAAGACCAAAGTCCAGAAGTGGACAAACAAGCAGAACTTTCCGCTGGACTTTATAGTCAGTGAATGCTAAGAATTAAAAGAATGTGCTATACATCTTTCAAAACCACTTGACAAAGAATGAGATAACATTAGATACCACTGTTATAACTATGTTTAGCTATTCGCTTAAGTTACTCATTTTTAAAACTGGATTTTCTGTATGTTTTGTTTAGGAGAGAAACCATTTGTGTGCGAAATCTGCCACATTGGCTTTACCCAGAAGCAGCGTTTGGATAATCATTTGAAGAAGCACCTGGACAGGGGTGTTATAGAAGGGCTGGCCAGGTCAGGACAAATTTTGGGGTCTGCAGGCCAAATGGAACAGTTTAGACAAGGGTAAGACTGAAAGTATATTTACTCTGTTAAACACGGTACGAGCGCACAAACACACAAATAGTAGACATTTTAGTAGTTATATTCCTGCAATAGATAACATTCTGTGTGAAAAGTGAGTAAATGGAGTGGCCAAATGTAAGACAGGCCTGCAAACTAAATTTGTGGCCTTTTGGGAAAAAAGTTTGTTTAATTCCTGTCATCTTCCAAGGCTATAAGACATCTTGGCATCTTTCTCTGTACCTGACGGTGCTGCTACAATTTATTATGAAGTAAAACCTTGTTAATGTGAACTCGCTTCACATGAACACCTGGTTAACATGAACAACATTTTTGTCCCTGATTAGTACAAATTGTTTTATCATAAAATCAATTTTCTATCGGTTGGAATTTGAGTTAACAAGGTTTTATGGAATTCACTGACCATATTTCCCCAAGTATAAGCTGATTTCCTTGTATAAGACACACCTTGATTTTGTGGCCAGAAATTGGGAAAACAAATAATGTGATTACATGGAGTTATTGAACTCACGTTTTATTCATCATAGAATCAATGTCATCCATGTGATAGTTATTTAGCTTGTCCTTATTTGGGTCTGATGATGAATGACTGTCTTCATGTATTGCCTCATCCTCAGCTCTTGTCAGGCCATATACAGGATCTTTCCTAACAAATCATTTGGTAATAATCTACCATTATTGTGTAAAAGGCACACTGTTTTTAGGCCCTAAGTCTTTTGGAAAATAAATGTGTTCTTATATTTGGGGGAAATACAGTGTTTAGGTCATCTTTTAAACATCCATGTTGTATAGCTTCTATCATTGTGACTGTTGGCAGCATCCAGTCACACACAGTTTATGATGTAGATGGGACTGTGCACTAAGATGTTGAGCTGTGAAGTACAAGTATATTTTCTTAAAGTTTTCTGGGGTCCATGTGTGCTGCATTGCTCATAATACCAAAATCTGCAATGTCCGCCTGCTGCATTTATGTCTGTTCACGGACAGTTGTGTCTGTCCACAGACAGCTGTGTCTGTCCACAGACAGTTGTGTCTGTCAATGAACAGTTGTGTCTGTCAATGAATAGTTGTGTCTGTCAATGAACAGTTGTGTCTGTTCACAGACAGTTGTGTCTGTCAATGAACAGTTGTGTCTGTCAATGAATAGTTGTGTCTGTCAATGAACAGTTGTGTCTGTCAATGAATAGTTGTGTCTGTTCACTGACAGTTGTGTCTGTCAATGAATAGTTGTGTCTGTCAATGAATAGTTGTGTCTGTCAATGAATAGTTGTGTCTGTCAATGAACAGTTGTGTCTGTCAATGAATAGTTGTGTCTGTCAATGAACAGTTGTGTCTGTTCACAGACAGTTGTGTCTGTCCACGGACAGGTGTGTCTGTCAATGAATAGTTGTGTCTGTCAATGAATAGTTGTGTCTGTCAATGAACAGTTGTGTCTGTCAATGAATAGTTGTGTCTGTCTACAGACAGTTGTGTCTGTCCACAGACAGTTGTGTCTGTCAATGAACAGTTGTGTCTGTCAATGAATAGTTGTGTTTGTCTACAGACAGTTGTGTCTGTTCACTGACAGTTGTGTCTGTCCACAGACAGTTGTGTCTGTCCACTGACAGTTGTGTCTGTCCACTGACAGTTGTGTCTGTCCACAGACAGCTGTGTCTGTCCATGGACAGCTGTGTCTGTCCATGGACAGTTGTGTCTGTCAATGAACAGTTGTGTCTGTCAATGAATAGTTGTGTCTGTCTACAGACTGTGTCTGTTCACTGACAGTTGTGTCTGCACACGGACAGGTGTGTCTGTCCACAGACAGCTCTGTCTGTCCACAGACAACTGTGTCTGTCCACAGACAGTTGTGTGTCGAATAAGAGTCATTAGTCAAGGTCCTAACATTGCTGCAGACATGCCAGCAGAAATCACACAAAAGTCCATCATATTTGAAAACTAATGAAAAATGTGTCAGTCCCAGCACATCTTGAAGCTTGCAGACACAGACTAAAAATGCATAAGGCTGCCGTCAGGTGTGTCAACTCCAGCAGTCTTACATCAGAATAGTAGCTCGCTGCTGTACAGCCAGTCATAAAAGCTGGCCGTGCACCTGCAAAAGTACATGCCATTTTGAATATAATTGGTCACCCGCTTTTTTATTTTATTTTAGTGAAGACAGTGACACGACGTGGGCACTACAGAAAAACATTCCACATAAAACTCACAGTGTTGCACCAGTCACTCAGCTCTTTGGCTAAGTGCCAGAGCCTTAAGACTCCCGGGCCACACATGAGGAATTTGCAGCAGCTGGAAACATAAGTCTGGCCAGAAAATAAGCTTCCAGCTCGACCTAACCTGGAATGGGTTTCAGAAAATATATGGGAATTAATGGCGACCACCATGAAGTTGACCAAACTACCATTCCTTCCAGATATTCATCATGGAACACCTTTGGTCTTGCAGCATTGTTCAGGGTGTCCCATAAGTTTCCTTACATAGGAAAACACATTCCATGCATGTCCTCCACTGCTAAAGAACATATGTAAGCACAGCTACACATATGCGTGTAATGGTGGTATGTTTATTTTTCCCGTTACACTGCAGATCACTAAAGAGGATCTCCGATGTGGCAAATTTCTTTTGTGAAGAACAATTTGTTTATCCCCATAAATTTTTATATTTTTTGATATTTGGATAAGAGGAACCATTTCTTGGGTCCTTAGTGAGTTGTGTATATCAGGTCTGCACTTTATGTGGAAGGAGTCGCAGTGCTAGACACTCACCTGTATGTTTTTCAAACACTGACCTTGGCTTCCAGGTTGACCCACCCTTAAATGGGTAGCATGGAAACTCCTGGGAAGTAAAGGCGGCTGGCATGATGTTGACTACATAACCCACTGAATGCCGATTGGTTTGTAAAATATAGGTCTAACCCTGTATGCCCAATATGCCTGAAGGAGTAGAACAAGGCCATTGAAGGCCAAGGAAACTTATGGTTATTGGTTATATGACTTAGATATTACAGCTTGTTTTATGGTGAGTGTTTGCTTCTTTGCAGATCAGTTCCTGGAGATGAGAGTGCTTTCATGCAGATGATAGGACATGGGATGCCATACATCAAACAGGAGGCAGGGATGATCAGGGACAGTGTTGCAGGCACTAACAGCCACAATACCTCTAACCACATCAGTTCCAGAGCAAGTGAAGGTGGGATGGCTGGACTGCATTCAGTTGAACAAGCCGGTAAAGGCTCAAACTATCATATTGGAAGAAGCAAAAGGATCAAAACTGAATCTGATATAAAGGAAGAGAATGACGACGACGATGATGATGGGGAAATGGCTGAGCACGAAGAAGGTCAGAATATTGCAGCTCCCAGTTTTTCCTCAGAGGGCATGTTTCTTCACCCATCTGGCTATGTTGCTTATGGAGGAGTAGAAGATAGTGAGGAATCAAATGACCAAAGTCCAGGATCCAACCCTGCGGAACCTTTAAACCAGCAAGGAAGTGGAACTGCAGGGTCAGGGCATAGACGTAAACCTACTGTTGTTAGAAAACGTTACAGTGAATCACCCGCGAAGGAGATTTCTGTTGTTGCAAGCAATGCTGTCAGCAGCTTCCAGCAGTTCACTCCATTGCAGAGTGTGATGAACCATGGCAATGACAATTCTGATGCGGACTTGGATGAATCAGGTGCCGAAGACTTCCACGACACCGGAGAAACTCTCGACGACAAAAACGACCCGCCTTACCATGGAAATCTGTCCACGAAAACGGGTTTAACACCTCGTCATTCCACACCACTCGGTGCTAACGGCGTTGTTGAGACAAGATCTCATAGTCGTAGAAATGTGAGTCAACCTTTGAACCGACCTAGCCATGAACTGCTAAATGGGGATAAAATGAATCCAGGGGCCCAGAAAGGGGGCCTGACATTTACACATAATAACTCCTCCAACAGTGGACTTGTGAAGATTTATAATAGGATATCACTGATAAACTTCACAGCTGAGGAGCTAATCACCCATCTAATGAAACGAGATGACGTCCATAAGTGTCAGTTTTGCTGTCTTATCTTTCAGGACGCAGCTATGTATCATATTCATCGCAACATGCACGATAAAGCGGACATTCGCAGATGCAACATGTGTGGCAAACTTCTTCAGGATAAATATGACTTCACTGCTCACTTCTTAAATATGCATCAGAATTAAGAAGTAGCAATTCTTAATATAAAATCACTTTATTATTCCTTATATCTTCCAGTAAGTTTTTGGATAATCTCACGCCTGGATGCTTGCAATAAATTAAGTCACAAAACGATACAGAATCACTTCATTTATAGTTGTTTTTTCACTGAATTTTTGCCAGATGGGTTCTTTTCTATAACACTTTTTGCATAACTATTTGTAGATGATGGAGATATGGCTAAAAGATTTGCAGCAGTGTTTCTTTTAACTTCACTCATTCATGTCTTGTCTCAGATAATAGTTTCACATGTTTGCCTGTGTAACTGAATATAAAACATTAGCAGTGAACGAAAATTTTGTGTTCTAATGGTTGTAACAGATTAATAAGCCTTGAAGAACTAACTGTCATCTGTTAAAATAGATATAAAACATTAACTTTTTCTCACAAAAACCCTTTAGAGAAAAAAAGCCACTAATTCATGAATTCTTGGGGGATATGCTTTATATTTATATATAAATATATTTATTTTACACAGGTCATTGATAGTTTATACAAATGATATACATTAGAACAATTTTGACGAATAAATGCAGGGGAGGAAGTAATCAGTGAACAGGAACAGAGCTGAAAATGACAGGACTAGAGTCTCTTGGTCCTTAAAAAGCTGACTGATATGGTGAGTAATACTGTGACCTCCGATTATTACAGAGAGAATGAAAAGTCGTCATGGCTTAAAGCCATTTATTTCACAGAAAACCCCCCATTTCCCTAATGCTAGTTTTAATAAATATAATGACACCCTCGTCTTCCTAAACACAGCGCAGGCACAAACAGAACCAGTGCTGTTAACTAGGCTTCTCAGGAATTTGCCAATGCAGGAATGCTGGTTTAACAGATTCTCTGGGGTTAGTAACTGACGTCTCCGTGTGGGTTTCGGGGCCCTGTTGTGAGGAAGACAAGAATAGACCCTCTGCCTACCCAAAGGCATGTTGTAGGAGTCAATTAATTGGGGGCTTCCTTCGAAGTCAGAGTGCATCTGTATGAGAGGCAAGGAACTGACAGACTGCTTACAAATAAGTCAGAACTGTAAAACGGATGTGCACGCAACAGCCAAGTACGGAGCAAGACTAATGTCCAGAGATGGACAAACAACCAGAACTTTACTCTGTAATTTACAGCCAGTGAACGCGAAGAAGAAGTAACAGATGGCAGTGGGGATAAAACATTAGCTTGGAAAACAGAAGTGTCTTTTTTAACAGACTTTATACTTAATGTACAGATAGGGTAAATTATGCATATTACCTTAATCCATCTCATTCGCCCTGTGAAGTATATTGCTTGCATTGTATCTGTTTACAGCCAGACTATATCTGCATTTTTCTACCCGAATATCTGACTTTTTACACCGATCTTTTTTATAGTAAATTTATAGTCAAGTAATGTAAAATAGTGCACCCTCATCTATAGGTCGATATGTATTGAGTATATGTCCAAGTAAACTAACCATCCTCCATACTTTGAGGTGTGTGTATGTCCAAGTAAACTAACCATCCTCCACACTTTGAGGTATGTGTATGTCCAAGTAAACTAACCATCCTCCATACTTTGAGGTGTGTGTATGTCCAAGTAAACTAACCATCCTCCACACTTTGAGGTGTGTGTATGTCCAAGTAAACTAACCATCCTCCACACTTTGAGGTGTGTGTTGGGTGTATGTCCAAGTAAACTAACCATCCTCCATACTTTAAGGTGTGTGTATGTCCAAGTAAACTAACCATCCTCCATACTTTGAGGTGTGTGTATGTCCAAGTAAACTAACCATCCTCCATACTTTGAGGTGTGTGTTGGGTGTATGTCCAAGTAAACTAACCATCCTCCATACTTTAAGGTGTGTGTATGTCCAAGTAAACTAACCATCCTCCACACTTTGAGGTGTGTGTATGTCCAAGTAAACTAAATCCTCCACACTTTGAGGTGTGTGTAATGTCCAAGTAAACCCATCCTCCACACTTTGAGGTGTGTGTTGGGTGTATGTCCAAGTAAACTAACCATCCTCCATACTTTAAGGTGTGTGTATGTCCAAGTAAACTAACCATCCTCCATACTTTGAGGTGTGTGTATGTCCAAGTAAACTAACCATCCTCCATACTTTGAGGTGTGTGTTGTGTGTATGTCCAAGTAAACTAACCATCCTCCACACTTTGAGGTGTGTGTATGTCCAAGTAAACTAACCATCCTCCACACTTTGAGGTGTGTGTATGTCCAAGTAAACTAACCATCCTCCACACTTTGAGGTATGTGTTGGGTGTATGTCCAAGTAAACTAACCATCCTCCACACTTTGAGGTATGTGTATGTCCAAGTAAACTAACCATCCTCCACACTTTGAGGTATGTGTATGTCCAAGTAAACTAACTATCCTCCACACTTTGAGGTATGTGTATGTCCAAGTAAACTAACCATCCTCCACACTTTGAGGTGTGTGTTGGGTGTATGTCCAAGTAAACTAACCATCCTCCACACTTTGAGGTGTGTGTTGGGTGTATGTCCAAGTAAACTAACCATCCTCCACACTTTAAAGTGCGTGTTGGGTGTATGTCCAAGTAAACTAACCATCCTCCACACTTTGAGGTGTGTGTATGTCCAAGTAAACTAACCATCCTCCACACTTAGAGGTATGTGTATGTCCAAGTAAACTAACCATCCTCCACACTTAGAGGTATGTGTATGTCCAAGTAAACTAACCATCCTCCACACTTAGAGGTATGTGTATGTCCAAGTAAACTAACCATCCTCCACACTTTGAGGTATGTGTATGTCTAAGTAAACTAACCATCCTCCACACTTTGAGGTATGTGTATGTCTAAGTAAACTAACCATCCTCCACACTTTGAGAGTGTATGTTTGAGGTATGTCCAAGTAAAACTAACCATCCTCCACACTTTGAGGTGTGTGTTGGGTATATGTCCAAGTAAACTAACCATCCTCCACACTTTGAGGTATGTGTATGTCCAAGTAAACTAACCATCCTCCACACTTTGAGGTGTGTGTTGGGTGTATGTCCAAGTAAACTAACCATCCTCCACACTTTGAGGTATGTGTATGTCCAAGTAAACTAACCATCCTCCACACTTTGAGGTATGTGTATGTCCAAGTAAACTAACCATCCTCCACACTTTGAGGTATGTGTATGTCCAAGTAAACTAACCATCCTCCACACTTTGAGGTGTGTGTTGGGTGTATGTCCAAGTAAACTAACCATCCTCCACACTTTGAGGTATGTGTATGTCCAAGTAAACTAACCATCCTCCACACTTTGAAGTGTGTGTTGGGTGTATGTCCAAGTAAACTAACCATCCTCCACACTTTGAGGTGTGGTTGGGTGTATGTTCCAAGTAAACTAACCATCCTCCACACTTTGAGGTGTGTGTTGGGTGTATGTCCAAGTAAACTAACCATCCTCCACACTTTGAAGTGTGTGTTGGGTGTATGTCCAAGTAAACTAACCATCCTCCACACTTTGAGGTATGTGTATGTCCAAGTAAACTAACCATCCTGTGTGTGTATGTCCAAGTAAACTAACCATCCTCCACACTTTGAGGTATGTGTTGGGTGTATGTCCAAGTAAACTAACCATCCTCCACACTTTGAGGTATGTGTATGTCCAAGTAAACTAACCATCCTCCACACTTTGAAGTGTGTGTTGGGTGTATGTCCAAGTAAACTAACCATCCTCCACACTTTGAAGTGTGTGTTGGGTGTATGTCCAAGTAAACTAACCATCCTCCACACTTTGAGTTTAAAAATTAGTTAGCTATCCTCCACACTGTATGTGTATTATGTCCAAGTAAACTAACCATCCTCCACACTTTGAGGTATGTGTATGTTGCCAAGTAAACTAACCATCCACTCCACACTTTGAGGTATGTGTATGTCCAAGTAAACTAACCATCCTCCACACTTTGAAGTGTTGTTTGGGTGTATGTCCAAGTAAACTAACCATCCTCCACACTTTGAGGTGTGGTTGGGTGTATGTTCCAAGTAAACTAACCATCCTCCACACTTTGAGGTGTGTGTTGGGTGTATGTCCAAGTAAACTAACCATCCTCCACACTTTGAAGTGTGTGTTGGGTGTATGTCCAAGTAAACTAACCATCCTCCACACTTTGTTCAGAAGGTATGTGTGTCCAAGTAAAATAACCATCCTCCAAGTATGTGTAAAACTAACTATGCCAGCTGTATTGATCCTCCACACTTTGAGGTATGTGTATGTCCAAGTAAACTAACCATCCTCCACACTTTGAGGTATGTGTTGGGTGTATGTCCAAGTAAACTAACCATCCTCCACACTTTGAGGTATGTGTATGTCCAAGTAAACTAACCATCCTCCACACTTTGAGGTGTGTGTTGGGTGTATGTCCAAGTAAACTAACCATCCTCCACACTTTGAGGTGTGTGTTAGGTAATGTCCAAGTAAACTAACCATCCTCCACACTTTAAAGTGTGTGTTGGGTGTATGTCCAAGTAAACTAACCATCCTCCACACTTTGAAGTGTATTTTGTTTATATTCAAATAATTAGAAGGTTGTCTCTTTTACTCGACCACATACCTCAAGCCATCAAACACTTTTTTTTACTTTTATATAAATTTAATACTTTTTTATGCTTTTTTTAAAAAACCAATTTCTTTCAATGTACTTTGTTATTTTATATCTTGACATATGAAAATTATGCCACTGTTTATGAATTATGTTTATTTCTTTGTTTTAAAATTATTTAGTAATATTTGACCTAATCAAAGACTATCATTTCCTCTCCTAACAATAAGTTAATAAGGTATGTCCACTTGAAAGGTCTTTCCAAATTTGCCCCAGAATTTGTTGGCTTTTCAGTTTTATTTAAGTATGTCACAATAAATTGGCCATACACACGTAAAATTATTACATAAGGTATTTTGCCAGCCCACCTGTAAACTGACTACCAGCCATATTAAATACCATGACTGAACCGCTGCACAAATGAAA